AGCACAAGATGTTTATACCTGCCATGCTTCTCAACTTTATACTCCTTTTTCTTTTTACCTTTCTTTTGGTCCTCTGGAGGCGGATGCACGGCTAAAGTGTCCATGGCCAGTCTCAAACCTAAGTACTAGAGTTTGTGGCATCTATCTAAAATGTTTCCAGACTTGTATTTAAGCTACCAATTTTCTCTTTTATGCTTCACCTTTCCCTAAATGAAGACAGCCTTGTTCATAAGCCAAAGAGGTGCTGTTAAATTCATTTTAAATATACACAAACACACACACACACACACACACACACACACACACACACACACACACACACACACTGAGGTAATTTCAAAGAGATAAAGTAACTTTCCAAAAGTGAGATCTGGATACAACGGCAGGTTAAACATGGAATCCAAGACTCCTAGCTTCTGGGTCAATGTTTTTTGGGTGCTGTTAAATATATGTACCTCTTCAACAAAGAAAATAGTATATCTCTCAAGATACACAGATTCTGTGTCTCAAAAGTCTAAGGATGCATGTACCTTTCTCTACCACCAATACAAGTCTCCTGAGAATACCCATGAAGAATATCTAGTGTAGTCCTGTTTCTAAGAAACACCTCCTGAATGCTAACTGCACGGTAACTGAACTCTGCCAGTACAACACAACAAATCTCAGATCCCCAAATCACATCTTTGTTTAACCTTCACTGACCAGTTAAGGGGAAAATAAAAGTGATAAACTTTGAAGTCCTCTTCTTTCTCCTTCTATATCATGGTTCTAAAGTAGGATCTGCTGTCGATGTGAGCAACAGGAGCAGCATCTGGGGATTTGCTAGAGGTACAAATTTCGCAGGCCCCACTCCAATACTGAACCATAATAAACCGTGGCTGCCTGGCCCCAAAATCTGTATTGTTACAAGCTTCCCGGATAATTTTCATGCACACTAAAGTTTGAGGTTCACTGTTCTAGACGATCAGTGTTTAAATCCCTGTTTCTCTATGTACCATATCCAAGCTCATTATACCCTGTCATTTTAAGAAAGTCTTCTCCATACTACAGAAATGTGATTGCTAAAATGTACTTTTAATGATAAATTTGCTTTGACCCTGTCCCATGTTCCATGAATTTTGGATCCTGCAGAGCTAGCGTTCTTTAAATGCTGCAGTTTAGTAGTTAGCCTTATCTATGTTTCACTGACTTGCTATCTTCAAATTTCACTTGAAAAATAGACTTTGCCCTTGTTATTCCTAAATAATATATTTTCTAATCAATCAGAAATGAATCTTATAATCCAATAGTAACGCTTTATGGAGAGCTGTATGTATAGTTTTTGTATCCCACAATTTCTTTAAAGAAAAACCCTCAATATTCAGGATCCATGTCTCCTAATCTCTTATATCTTTAATTATTTGATACTTATATCTTCGCCTAGTTTCTACAGGATACTCAAAAAGTCAGTGTGCCAGCAGGTATGTCTTCCATTCCTTTTTCTTCCCTCTATTGTCTGATTAAAAATAACAGAATGCGAAGAACTTTTAAAAAGAAAGTAAATGAATTCTTTGTCTCAGTCTGCACACATGCACTGAGCTCAAATTTCCCAAAGGAGAAATAAGAAATTCAAAAAGAAATAAGGGTCACAAACAGATATAATAGATGTTTAAGAAGTCAGGATGTTAAGTGTCAGGTCAGATGGCTTGCTCGGCAGAATTCTGGATGGTATGGTAAGAAATGAAAACACCGAGGGCTAGATGTTAATCTATAGAACACACAAGTCCAACAAGTCTGCCACTGCAATAAACAAGATGTGCCTGCTTGTTTGAAATAAGAATTTGGTAATTACTATAAGTCTACTTAAAACCTTGCACAAACTGATGTTAAAATGAAAGAATGTCAGCACTTACATTTTAGTGGAGTATCAAAAATAATGCAGACTTTGAAAGTGTATTGCAAATTTAGTTATATGACAGAATATGCATGTTTTGTTCAAGCAAACACACTAAAAGGGGAAGAAGACAGCACCCTAACTTTAAGATACCATGTTTCAGTTACAGGGACATCCACAGACATTATGTCAGGCAACAATAAGGTTTTCAAATAGGTAACCTGTCAGGTCACTAAGAACCATATGGAGCAGGAACCGCTACACTGGAGGCAAACCCAAAGGCAACTTACTTATTTTTAAGTGCCAAACGAGAACAACAAAGTTAGAAGTTAACAGAAAGAATGAAAAGAAATTATTAGATGCCATCATAAAACCTGCACAATTTAACAGAATTCGTTCATATACTAAGAATGCAACAAAGAAACAAAAGTCTCTAAAACTATATGAGAGAAAACACAAGATTCAAGGAGAAATATTTAAGACCAAAATTCTAGTCCTTAAAAATTGAAAGCAAACATGGATTATGGAGTGGATTCGGGTTGGATTTAAGATTGAAATAACTATCAACACTGAAACATTTTCCGGCATAAAGCCTAGACATTCCCTAAATAGAATGGTGTTTTGTACTTCTAATATACTGTCATTAATCCATTACCTGTGGCCATCTTGGTAGGCAGGTGCCTGGAAAAGGAAAGCAAAACAGTTCTAAATCAAGCAATTGTAAGGGTTCTGTGTTAATTTTTACGACTGAACCAAGAAAGCTTCCCAGGTAGTCAAATACCAAAAGAATCAAAACTATATTATTATAGTTTACACCAATGTGACAGCAACTAGTACACAACCTTACTTTTTTTTTTGGTACCAGGGATCGAACTTGGGTCCTTGTGAGGCAGGCGGCGGAACCAATGAGCTAAATCCCCGGCCCACAACCTTACAAATTACCATCCAACTCAACTCTATATTAAAGTAGGGATAATATGTATGCAATCAAACAAAATATGGCATCTCTGTGTGTTTGATTCTGAATGGAAACCCCTTTCAACATTGAAGTCACTAAGAGCTGCAGGAACAGGAGGATGACAAAATGACAATATTTAACTTTCAAATATTTGCAACTCATACAGAATGGCTCTATTTTTGGACCAGAGCCAGTGTGTTTGATTTCTTTTATGATCAAAGAGGATTTTACAGTAGGAAGCAACTCAAAAGCACTTTCAAAATACTTAGAAGCTATGCTGAGTTCTTTTAATCTTGCTTTCAAAAAAATTATATGGAGGTACAAATGGAGAGAAAAAACAGGTTTGCTACCACCTGTTCTCAGGAAGAGGCATTTTTTTTCCCCTCACTTCTCTCAATATTCTTTGAAAAATACTGTCCACCTATTCATCCCTCAGGAAATAATTAAACACAATACTAAAAAATCAAGCAAACAAAACCACCCTATACAAAGCTAAAGAAAAAAATTAACCTAAGATAGAGATGCTTATGAAGATTTAAAAAAGAGGCACAGACAGGGCAAGACCTTTAAAGGTAAATGGGTGAGCTTGATAATAAATAATTTCCAAAAAGATTATACATTAGCAGTGAGATAAACATGCCATTAGTCCTTAATTAAAGAAAAGAATATCCATGATTCAGAGAGATGATAGGGCAGTCCCTAAATGACCTATCAACAAGCCCAGTTTGCTTCAACAGCGTGATGGGTATGGTTCTCAACTTAATATACTTAGATACATTTTCCACTGGAAAGAATTAGTATGAAGAATATTTTGTTGTTCAAAATAAATGATTCTAATTTCAATTCTTTTTAATATTTTCCCTTTCTAGTTTTCATTGTCCCAATGCTAATATCCCTTAACTAAGAGTTCAAGTATGTTCTTTGTTAATGAAAACACAACACATTGATTGTAAGAATCTTACTAGATTTCCATTTGTTTTCCCTCAGCTCCTACATTAATCCAAACAATAAGGGCCTTTAAAACATTCATAAATAACCTGCTGCTGCTGCTGGCACCTAGGAGCCAAGTGCGGCAATGTTAAGCAACAACAAATTTCATAGTTCAAGAAGCACAGTTAAGGAAAAAGGTTGCTCAGAAAATCACTCTTATTTAGCACAAAGATCCTTAAAAATTGCATGAAATCAGTCAAGTAACTATAGAAACCAATTTCTTCAGCTCCATATCACACGTCTCACACCTCAATTGTCTTTATTATCATCTGCTGTCAGATCCTTAATCAGCAATGTGAACAGGCTTGATGATTTATTCAGGAGAGAAAAGAATCTGTAGGTCAAGTGAAAAATTTCTCACACACACACACACACACACACACACACCCCACATCTTCAACCTTAGGTACTTTCATTTCATTCTGTTCTCAGCAGCTCTGGGGGCAACTCCAGTGAGATCCAATATTAAGGCTCAATTAAAATAAGCTCCAATTAGTGGAGTTTTTTCTCTGGGGCTAGAAAAGTCAGGAAATGGATATTGGGAAATGTAAAAAGTCAGCTACTGAGAGGAGGCTGCAGACATAAATGAACTTATTTGTTGATTTCTACAGTTGCTATGCAGAGGCCTCTGGGAGTAAAAGCTTAACCAGTCTAAGCTATAAACTAAAACCCCTGCAGCTAAACATGAACTGTGTGAAACAAGGGCTCCATTCCAGAACAGAAAACTGCTGGGCCCAGAAAATTAAAAGCCAGAGGCATTTTCCATTTAAAACTAAATCCCAGTACCGCCTCCCAGCCAAAGAATTATAAGCAGTATCAGATTTACAAAACGAACAATTACCCTGGAAAAATGTAGCCTATTGTACAGTCCCAGATGCTAAATCTCCAAAGTTTCCTTTTTTTTTTAATCCCACATTATATTCCTCTAAGTATACTGCTGTAGTTTACAAAGAGCCATTTCTAAGAAGACATGCCTAAGCCTTGAAGATAAATTTTAAAAAGAGAGCACATAACTCATTGACCTCATTTGAAGTACTGCCCTTGCCTTTAGCAGTTCCTGTCCTTCCCCAAGGCTTCTGCAAATGGTATGCAACAGCAAAATAAACCCTGACCTAATTGCCAGGAGAGCCATGCCAACCTTCCCTCCAACAAAAAGACATGGTAACTTGAAAGTCCTACCTCTTTGGCTTTCTGCTTTAATCTCAGCTGCTCTGGATCTTCTTTATTGGAACGACTCTATCAAAGGAAAAGAAAATTTTAATAGAAACGAGCATCTAAACACCACAGTCACAGTTAAATATTTAATAAATGACAATTTCTCTTGTGATTGAAAATCCTAGCTCCAGGGGCAATGCCTCAGTCCAGTCTGGCTGCACTCCCACCCTCACTCCCCGTCCTCATCTGGGCCTGCTGGTGCAGCTCTAGCCTGGAGGAAGCTTAGACTGAAAATGATGCTAACAATGTCAGTCAGGTCCAGTTGAGGCATGAGGCTGTTCTTGTCGGAACACTGGAAACTAAAAAATGGATGGTGCAGATGGAGAAAAAGAACTATTCGCTCAAATGAATGAAAACATAAAAACAGGTTTATCTTCAGGTAAAACTATTTTGGGAAAACATATGGTACTTCAAGGACTATTAAAATCACGACCCTGACTAACCTTGAACCAAATCTGCCTTTAAAAGTATAATGTCAAAAAGTAGGAAATATATTCTAGTATTTTGCTTAGTGTATCTTTTCTTTAGGTCCTTTATAACATTTGACAGAATGTTATGCACAAATAAATTTTCATACATGTTAATTCAATGTCACTTTTCATAATACAGTCATAGTAAAGTGCTGGTATTAGAAGACGGTTATTATCATCTATAGATAAGGTATGATAGATAATGGGTAAGGGACTTCATTTATGATGCCACAACCATTTTGTCCATAGGAAAACATACTTAGGATAGGCGTATCTTCTTTTTATCCTAACAGATTTGCTTAACTCCTATAAATCTGAATGTTTGTTTGAAAAAATGCAATCTAAGCTAACTAAGCCAAAGGTAGATAACAAAATAAAAACCAAAGTATTCTCCTATTTACTAAGTTTATCTGCTACTTTTATTGATATGCAAGTACCCTTATTGAAAGAAAACATAAGAGATCATCTGTTTAGAATTACTAGGATCTTCTAATTTCAGACACTTAAATATTGACACAAATTTTACTCGAAACTAGTAAGTTTTTGTTTTCATTTTCATCTGCAATCTACTAAACCAACTCTATTTGAATCCAAACTAGGTCAAACACCTTCGTTCTCCTAGGAGATAATGAATACATGAGCAGATGTGTTTATATATAAACACGCATGCATGGTATATAAACATTTGTATGAGTATGTACAACTGTCCTTGTATAAAATGGGTGAATTTGCATAATACATATTTGTCAGGCATCCTCTATTACTGGACATAAGTAGACAGTCTTTGTGTGCCACTGTTTTAGGCTTTGGAGATTTAGAGAACAAATAACTAGTCAAAACAGTCAAAGCCTCTATTCCCAGGTAACTCACTTGTTGCGGGGGGTACCGGGGATCAAATTCGGGCCTTGCACTTGCGAGGCAGGCAAATGAACCACTGAGCCAAATGCCCAGCTCTCACATTTTAAGAACAGAAAAATAATAAAATAAGAATTTTTATAAAAATTAAACACATTTATGATATGTAAAACATTTTAGATGGGTAGAAATACAAAGCAAGTCATTGCTGATACAAAGTCCTATGAAGAAAATACAACAGAACAATGTGACAAAAGAGAGAGGAGTACTTCTCTAAGGTAGAGGGGAAGGTATCTGAGGAGTGACAGTTGTGTAGAGGTCTGAATGGCAAGATCTTCGAGTCCATGCAGAACATTCAAGCAGGAAGCACAGTAAATGCCAAAAATAAGAACATGGTTGTAGACAGAGGGAAGGCCCATGATCTTAAAGCACAGAGACAATTTGAAGGAGAGAAAGGTTGGAGATCATGTGTTGCCCTCTAGGCCACGATAAGGAGTTGGGAGGTTAGTTCGGTTCTAAGAGGCCACAGAAGGGTTCACAGCATAGAATGAGCCACCACAAAAGGCAGTTCTGGTAGCTATGTAGCAGGTACATGGTACATACCCCATGCACTGAGACTTTCTAAAGCAACTGTTGTGAGCAAGTGATGGACTAGGCAAAAAATGAGAGCAGCCTGGAATATCGTCATAGCAAAGAAGAGCACAGCAAACAGGTTCAAACCACACTTTGCAAAGAAGGTCAACCAGATGGATGGACTGCACAGAAGGTTTAAAATGAAGAGGAAACAAAAAATGGCTTCTAGGAGCCTGAATAGCAAGTAGGAGGATGGTAATTTCCACTTCCTGAGAGGGAAGAGATCTAGTATAAAGCAGATGTAGGGGGAAAGAACTCAGTGTTCAGTTTTAGATGCCTAATTAGAAGTCTAATGAGCTTGGCACAGTCAAGAAATAGAAAAGTTAATGTGCCTACCATAAAGTGAAATGGCACAAGGAGAGACACTAGGCAAGCTCAGAAAGTGGAGAATGTGCCAGAAAATGTAAGACCTTTTAAAATTTGGTAAGAAGTTTGGATTTTAAGTGCAAGAGAAGCCACTGAAAACTCTTTATGATATTAAAACACTATTCAAACAACAGTATGATGAACAGATTGTAGAAGGGAACAGAGGTCAGCAGGAAGATACAGAAGTCCAAGTGAAAGATGTTTTAGACTGGAATAGTGACACTGATAATGAAGACAGGAGATAGATACATTCTGGAAATGAACAGAAAAAGAGCTGAATGAGGAAGGACAAGAAAGACAAGAGTTAAAGATGATTCCTGATTTTTTTGGCTTGAACATTGATGCAAATAATGGCCTCATTCATTGAGTCAGCAAAAGTTACAAGAGAAGAAAGAAAAATCAGAAGTCCTTTTGGACAAATTATATTTGAGATGCCAATGAAGTGATGTCAAGTATGCAATAGCTCTATGAACCCAAAGTTTCAGAATGTAGACTAAATTGGAAATGTCATTTTAAAAGGGAATAAAGACAGAGAAGAAGGGCTGAGTTGAAACCTGGGACACTCCAACGTTTAGAAGTCTGGTAAAGGAGGGAAATTCAAAAGACTGAAAACAAGTATAATAATACTGTATATCCATTAATGAATAAAAAATATTTAATAGTTTATGAACTTATTTACTGCCCAGTAATTGAAATTAAACACCAATAAACCACCTCATTACAATGGCCGAGGCTTGCTTATGATACTTATACTCAAAGAAGAACATCTTTCTGTCCCAGCTGCCTTTCCCTCCCTGAGCATAGGTCAGCACTCACTGGGTTTGACACTGGGGCAGCTGGAAGCTGCACAATATCAAGGCTACGATGCCCACATTTTTATGGAGGCCGGGACAATTCAACACTGGGCTAGTGCTCAAGAATACACAGTGATAAATAAGGAGAAGGGAGCTCCAGTGAGGCATGGATCAGGTCTCCCACTTGGGAGCCATTTGGGCATCAAATAATAATGACAGTAACAGATTATAACTGATTTGGTCAAACAGAATCCACGATCTGCTACTGATATGAATAAGGGGGAAAAAGAAACCTCTTTTATATAGTAATTACTAATAAGCAAAAAAGTTGATGGGAATAAAGAATCAGCCTCTGGTAATCACCACATAAATGGCTGATTCAGGTAGACACCACGATGGATGCTAAGGATGAAACCTTGATGAGGAATAGGATACTGGCATCACCTTAAAATATTTTCCTATGAAAAAATAAATAATTACATAGGGAAAAAGAGCTCATAGTAGTCAGCTACGTGAGAATATCAAGCTGCCCTCTGATATGATCAGAAGAGAAGAATGCAGCATCATTTCTGTGCAGTCCTGCGAAGAATACATGATTTAAGCCACAAGGAAATACCAGATGAATCCACGTTGAGGGTCATCTTATACAGGTAAAAGGCAGTGCTCTTGAAAACTGTCAAGGGCACGAATGAACAAGAAAGACTAAGAATCTGAAGGAATCTGAAAAGAGATAACACTAAATGAAATGTATATTCCTGAATGAGAAGGAAATGTGAAGAGACCTGGCTGAGATGGCAGGTTAAACCAGAATGGGAGCCTGTGCAATTGACAGTAGGGTCACTGCTGACTTCCTGACCGGAGGGTCATCAGGAGAAGGTCTTTATTTTTGCAAATACATGTTAAGAATGGTGAGGAATGATGGGACGTCATATTTGAAAAATACTTTCTAAGCTTTGAAAAACAATTAATTAGTGTCTATAGTTCTGTAACTGTGAATACACTAAAAACTTCCAAATCCGTGAAGGGAAGGAGGGAAGACAGAAGACGTGGATAAACCAATGGCAGTATGTGCTCAGGCACATAGGATGTGTGAGTCTGTAAGTGGGTAGAGATGCAGAAATTCAGTAAAATATTTCAAACGGGGGAATCTGGAAGTAGGAGCTAAGAATGTACACTTCTAGTTAGCTTTTCCTGGGAAAGAGGACTGAGAATATATAGTGGTGGTTAACTTTCTGTAAGTATGAAATTATTTCAAAATAAATTAGTTTTCAAAAATGCAATTAGTAAGTAGCAACAAATACTCTAGAAAGGAGAAGCTTCCAAGAACACTAAAAATTAGAGCTAAAGTGCTTAAAACAAAAACTAAAGACTTTAGTGCTCTGTCTTTAAGACTTCTCTGAAGGGCTTCAAGCCTATGAAGAAGCACAGAGCTACAAGACACAAACTAGTGGAATTAAGCTTTCCCCCCATCTGGCACTAATAGTCCCGGAAAACATTTAAATAAAGGAGAAAGAAGAAAGTGAAAAGCCTCACCTGTTCTCCCTTTTAATCTCTGACCCATTTTTACCCTTCATGTATTATGGTCCCATACAGTTGACATTATACCCTATTTTACCCATAACCCTCCTGGTCTACTCTCTGAACTTTCTTCTCTCAACTTCACTTTGGCACATATCAAACAATTCCCTAAAAAGACCCTGAAATGTTTACAGAACGTTTTTACTGGGGGTTGGGGGTGATGCCAGGCACACAGGAAATGAGAGTGAGGAGACAAAGATCATGACTCATTAAACTAAATTAACCGAAAGCCACTGTACCACGCCATCCTGGCTGTGAGACATTCTATTAGTAATTTCATTTTAAGAAATCCTCCAGAGAAATCTAAAGGCTTAAAACCAAAACAGTCGACCAATGATGAGGCCAATTCTGACCTCACAGCCAGGCCATGTTCACTCATAAATCACATAAGCCCTTACCTTGGCAGCCTTAAGTAACATTTCTCTTTCTTCTAAATCTTTTCTCTGTTTCTCCAATTGATCCAGCTTCTCAAGAAATTTGAGCTGTGACTTAGTATCACTAGACAGGATGTAATTTTCACTTGCCTGGGAAAAAAAAAGTCTTATGATGATCCTGGGTAACACATTCCACCTTAGGTATTGTAATAAACTAAAGACAGTGACACCAACAAATAGCTAAATTTTCAGTAATTTTTTGCTTATGTTAAACAAGCTTAACAAAACAAAAAATCCCAGGAACTTGAATTATCCTTAAAATTTCAGAGATAATTTATGTTTCAAAGAGAATTCTACTAAACCTCATTCTGAGGTAGGGAAAGGAATTAAGACAAGCAGATTCAAACAAGAAGAAGAATGCAAGAGCATATATACCATTTACTTATAATTTAAATCTCTTTAATTAAATTATTTTTTATTTTGGTAGAACCTAATATGAGTAATTAATTCTTAAGCCTATGCAGACAAACAGCAAGAATGATCTTCTTTCTCACTGAAAAATACACCTAACATGAAAGTTAGCCTTCAGTTAGCACTGCTGGACTCATTTAACCTTGACAAATGAATACAACTTCCATCAAAATACAACAAAAGACAAGATGCCAAGTATCAAAATCCCGAAACTCAGGATTCCCTTAAGGTGTGAATGTGACAGAAACAGTAGCCAAAGAAAATTAAGTAAATAATTTAAGAATGAGTGTCACAATCGAAGTATGTATAATTATGTGTTTGAGGTGTTCCATAAAATGACAAAATTTAAATTATTCTGTTTTTTCTGATACACCAGAGTGGAAAACAGTGCTTCCCAATCTAAATATTTTCCAATTTTCTTCACTACAACCACCTACCTCTCCTTGATAATACATACACTATACCTAGTGTGTGTGGTTTGCTGGGAGAACCAGGTTTGGGTAGGGGGAGCCTGGAATCTTCCCAACCAATGTTTAGGACACCGGGCCATCTACTTATCTCTTCAATCCAGGCATCTGAGGGAGGCCGTATGCAGCAAAATGGAAATATATAGTTCAACAGAGAGCACCAGGCCTGGAGGTCGGGGTATAGCACACTCCTGCCTCCCATCTTAGCTCAATACCCATGCTTACCCATGCTTCTGGCTGACTCAATTAACCCAGAGATTTCATATGCCCAAGATTCTTTTCAAATTAAGTATTTATTGTTGGTATCTAACTAGATCAAAAGTGGGCACGGGATTTAGCTCAGTGGTTCCACCGTCTGCCTCGCAAGCATGAGGTCTCGAGTTCAATTCTCAGTACCAAAAAAAATAAAATCAAAAAATAAAAACCTAACTAGATCAAAAAAGTATTACATAGTTTAAGGAACAAGGATAGTGCTACTTACCTTACTTCATATTTAATACAAAAAGAATTCCTAAATGTTTTTTAAAGTTAAAAAAATACAAGATAGATTATGGAATATATTATAGGCCAACCATAGAGGTTAAACATAGTTAACAGTGGTTTCCTAAATACTTTTGATTTTTTTTGGTACCAGGGATCGAACTTAGAACCTTGTGCTTGCAAGCAGGCAGGCAGAACCACTAAGCTAAATCCCCGGCCCCTAAATACTTCGTCTTTACCAGTATATTGTGCTCAGACACTCTAGAGATAGTTTACTGACAGGATTTAATTTAAAGGGGACAACAAACAGTAAATCAAAAGGAAGGCAGACTTTCTAAATTTTAACCTTATCACGTAGGCATGCTAAATTTCTCTTTCTCTTCCAACTCAGATACAACTGCCTCTGGCACAATGTGCAATCTTTCTTTTAGCTTCCAGATACTATTAAACAAATGAGTACCTCCCCTAGTCCTACTGATTCCCTTTCTTTAAAACAACAGCCTGGTGTTCCTTCCGGTTTCAGCAGACCCAATTAACTGAACTCTATGCACCAACAGAGTAAGGCTTTACCATGTTAGGACCACTATATATTAAATGGCTTAGCAATGAAAATATAATGATCTAGTCCTAATGTATCAACACCATCGCGTGAATCCCATCTAAGGGCAACACTATAATACCTTCCAACTGGAAAACAATGAAACTTCCCCCATGGCCTCAGGCATTCAGAAGACTGCAATATATCTTCAGCGGGAAAGCACCTGGCAGCCAGATCAAAAGCTCTGTTTCACATGTCACTTTCCACTTCTTCACTTAAATCTCAGTTTATGGCCTATGATTAGAGAATTATATTTAACCAGGTAAAACATTACCAAAAGCAAATGGATTTCAGGAGTGGAAAGAGATGGTGGGATTTTGCTTTTAATGATAGTGGCTTGCATTTTAATAAAATTCATGGAGTAGAATTTCAAAATATTGTAAAGATAAAAATAAATCATATCAAGTATAAAATGAAATACAAAATCAGGGCTAAATCTATAATGCAAAGATTATTATAATTAAAGCCTACAAAATAAGGGTGATTTTAAACTAACTTCAAATATAATTAAATGATTGATATGTCTGCTAAAAGGATAATGACAATTCTTTCTGCTCTTCTGTGTGTGTAAATTCAGACAGTGGCCTTAGCAGTATAAAGCAATGAGTGGGGAAAAGTGGGCAGGGGAAAATCAGTCAGACTAGAAAGAGTAGAAGATAGGGTTAAGGAGGTGTTAGTGTTAAGCAAAGTTACTAAGGTCTTCCGGGTGGGCTGATGTTATCTGTTTGGCCTAGGGCAACTCAATCCTTGGAATACAAGCTTCTGAAATAAAATAGAAGAATTTTATCTGCAGCTATCCACAATAGATCTTTAAATAGCACTCTCACTAGGCCCTAAGAAAAATTCTCTCCATACTAAATTGTACATGTTATGTATTTAGCCTTTTGTTTTTCATTGTTGTTGTTGCTTTTTTTTGTAGTGCTGAAGATGGAACCCACAGCCTCACACACACTAGGCAAGTACTCTACCACTGAGTATATCCTCAGCCCCATGTTACAGAAATCTCCCAGTATAAATGATTATACACTCGCGTATTTCTGAAAGAACAACAAGATTAAGGCAGGGGTGGGGAGATCCTGATGTGGAAAATTAGGTGATACTTCTAAATGTTAAAGTGAAGAAGATTATGATTTCCCCCACAAAACTGAATATAAGCCAATATCAATTCAAACTAGATTGCTATAGATTTAGGATTTTAATTATAGCCTCCATGGTAAACACTAAGAAAATAAATAAAAAGTACACACAAAGTGAGAGAAATCAAATATTACAAGACAAAAAAAATCAATTAAATATAAAAGAAGGCAGTAATGGGAGAAGTGAGGGTCAAAAAAGTTGTAAAGCATATAAAAAGCAAATAGCAGAAGTCTTTTCCTATCAGTAATTACTTTAAATATAAATGGATTAAACTCACCAATCAAAAAGCAGGGAGCAGCATAATGAATTAAAACACATGATCCAACTATATGCTATTTGCAAAAGACTCACTTTGGATAAAACATACAAATAAACTGAAAGTAAAATGAAAAAGATACTCCATGAATATAATAACCAAAAGAAAGCATTGATGTTAGTGCCAGTAACAGACAAGACAGACTTTAAATCAATGTTTTTTAAAAAAGACAAGCTGGGAGTGGTGGCATGGACCCATATTCCCAGCTAGTTGAGGTCCACTTGAGCCCAGGAATTTGGGTCATCATGGACAACATAGTTAAGACCTTGTTTCTTAATTTAGAAAAAAAAAGAGAAAGAAGAACATGATATAGCGATGAATGAGTCAACTCAAAGAGACTTTCAATCTTGCAAAACTTTCAATCTTGAATGTCTCCCCAAGGCCCATGCGCAACAGGCTTAGTCCCCAGCCAATAGTGACCGGAAGTAAAGCCGGGCCAAGTAGAAGGAAATCAGGTCATTGGGAGCACACCCTTCAAGGCACTATTGGGACCTCAGATCCTCTTGCTCATTTTTTTGCTACTTGGTTACCATGAAATCAGCAACTTTGTTCCTCTGTGTCTATGCCTACCATGAAGTGCTGCCTCACCATATGCCTCAAAGCAATAGGATCAACTATCCATGGACTGGAACCTCCAAAATCATGAGCTGAAATAAACCTTTCCTCATTTACATTGATTGTCTCAGACAGCTGTTACAGTAATAGAACGATGCCTAATAATTTTATCTATTAAACAGCAGAGTTCTCATATATATGAAGCAAATACTACTGGCAGATTTTTTGGTAGTATTGGAATTAACTTTATACCTAAAACAGAACAGCAAACTAAACCCAAAGCTAGAAGAAAGAAGGAAATAACAGAGATTATTGCTGAGATATGTGAAGCAGAATAGAAAACAGAGAAAATTAAAGACCTCCTGCATACTAAGCATTCATTCTACCACTCCTATAATAGCTGAAGACTTGCTAATACCCTCCTTTCAATAATAGATAAGAGTATCTAGATTGATGATCAACAAGGAAACAGATGCCTAACACACTACAAACCAGCTAACACATCTAACACAAGAATCAACACAACAGCCAACTAAAACCGAATACACGTTCTGCGTATATATGAAACTTTCTCCAGACCACATATTAAAAAAACCAAGCCTCAACAAAAACAAGCTTCAATAAATATAAAAATGTTTGAATTATACAAAGTATCTTCTTTGACCACAATAAAAGAACAAGGCCAGAAGGAAAACTGAGAAATTCACAAATATGTGGAAATTAAACAACATTAATTTAACAAATGGGTTAAAGTTATCTGAGGAAAAAAACTTGAGACAACTGAAAACTGGAAATACAACACTCCAAAGCACACAGACTGCAGCGACAGCAGTATGCAGAGGAAAATTTATAGCGGGAAACATCTATGTAAGAAAAGAAACGCCTCAAATTTACACCTTATGAAAACAGAAGAACTAACTAAACCCAAAGATAGCAAAAGGAAGGAAATAATAGAGGCTAACACCGGGATAAGTGAAGCAGAATAGAAAACAACAAAGAAAACTGATGAAAGCAAAAGTTGACTGGGGAAAAAAAAGAAAAGAAAAACAAAGGACAAACCATTCACTAACTAGGCTAACCAAAAAGAAAAAGAGAAAATGCAAATAATTACAATCAGAAATGAAAGTGGGATCATTACTGACTTTACAGAAATAAAAAGGATCAGAAAGGCATATTATGAAGATTATGTCCAATAAACTGGATAACAAAGAAATGGACAAATTCCTAGAATCCCTCTCTCTCTCTCTCTCTCCCTCTCTCTCTCACACACACATACACACACAAATATACTGCTGTCTTCTTTTTCCACGGCTTTTTTCTTGCTGAAAAAAGTCAGTTTAGCATATTCTCACAAAGAGGTCATGTCACCATGGATCTCCATAACTACATACAGTTCTTCCGAAGTTCTAACTGAAGCAAAAAGGAAGGAAAACAGAAAGATTCTTCTTCCAGGGAATTTACCGGTGGTATGACAGCTAACGTCTTTCTGGAGTCCTCTCAATCTCTGGCTAGGAATCTATGGCAATCAACACTCCTGCAAACTCAAAACCTCACAAGGTTACCTCTTTACCATTGCATTAAAAACCAAGTTATCAACATTGCTTGATAAAGAAGTAAAGGATTTTCTTTAATTTAATTTTTTTAAATCTTACCTTCCAATACATTTGCCCTCCTCTAAAACTACAATTCAAATATATCAACTGCTTTCATCTTAGTAATGGCAAGTCATTTAGTTCATATCAGTAGGGATAAGACAGGTTATTCTTGCATTCACTTTTTATAAAAGTAGCCAGTAACAGTAATGCATGGCACCAGTATCATCACTCAGTGAAATCATGTAAATTACTGAAAGGAACAGAAATGTTAGCAGACTCCAGACCACCAAAGACAACACAAGTAGCTAATATTCCAGCCTAATAAATCTTCCTCCCCAGTCAAAATCTGGATAATGAAAAACCCCAGGAAGAACAGATGCAAATTCCAAACTACAGTGACACAGAAGCTTTGGATATCATCTCCAACTCTTATTTGTCCTGTAAAGATATCTAAAGCTAATCAAGAAGACGACTTAATTTTTCTACTAATATGCCATATAGGTCTTAATCATTCCTTAAAAATATATTTACAATATGTTTGTAAACATATTTTCATATTTATAATATGAATCCATGCTCAAAAACTATGCTGTTAGCACTACAGAGGACAGCAGGAGTATGCACTCCTTTAGTGATTTCCTTTACCTTGTAAGTAGTCATTCGATGCTGAGCAATTGTAGTCAGTTTTTCTAGAAGGCCTCGTAATCTCTCCTGTGTTGCATGGGAGATCAAGTTCACAGCATCAGAGTTAAATTCCGTAATGTCATGCTTTTTACCTGTGGAAGCAGAGAAAATCCATTACATGTTTTAGTAGTGGCTGATAATTGAAATAATTAGCACAGCAGGTATTCTGTTCCCCCTGGAAGTCATACCCATTATGAGTAAAGGTTTGGAGATTATAATTTTCCTGGTAAAGTCACAACTTCAAAGATCTTAGACATTACATTAATAAAACCTAGCCTGAAGCCTCAGAAAATATAGACATTGTTTCACTTAGCCTCTAGAATCATTCTCCTCACAAGGTCATTTATAGGACAAAGTTAATAAGAACACAAATCAAGTCTACTGTTCAGGGAGGAAAATGGTAACTGCAGAAATTAGTGTCCTACTCTGTTAATTTTAGTAATTAAAAAAATAGAAAATTGCATTTCACCCTGTTTGACACTGCTAACAATTTATGACATTTATTTCAATGAATGCAGACTGTGAATCTCTGTGAATGTCTCGTCCATAATATGTACCTATACTGTTTCTGTCCATTAACAATCATGTCTATATTTTACACTAATGTTCTGATCATTTGACCTGGTAATCAATTGCAACTTGAAATGGGTTCAAGCTTTATCATTTCACCCATCCATTTGAATAACTTCTCTCTTCTTTGAATAACTTTTTTCTTTTTTTCTGCTAACTATAAAGTTTCCGGGAAACAATTTAGACCACATACCCAAAGGCACAAGCTCATTTATAAATTAACCTTATCAGTATTTAAATAGTACTTCTCAGGCAGATACAGTGAAACCTCCTGTATCAACAGAGATCTAAACCCAAAGATACAGGCAATTAGGTGGTCTAATCTAAATGAGCTTTTAAACTACTGTGATTCTTTTTAACATATATGTATAAATGCAGGAATTCAAAAAATACTGTTGTTTGACTTGAATACCAATTTATATGAAGCAGTCAGATTCTTATCAGAGGGTGAATACCTACAGTAAAAACATGCTTCAGTTAAGACAATAACTTATTATTTTTTTTCAGTGAGATGGAATTTATTTCTCTCTCGGGTAACACTCCAGGTAGCAGGAAGCCAATATGGCAGCATCTCCATGGTTTCAGAGTGCCAGGTTCCTTGCAGCTTGCTGCTCAGTCAGAGGAAGAGAACACCCAACCCAAGATGATCCTTTCCTCATCTTCACTTCAAGCAGCTGAAAGCAGAGGTGGACAAAGTGGAAGGTACACAGCTCTTCCCTTTCTTCCTGGCATCTTTTCTTCCTTTGATATCTTGCTGGCCAACACTTAGTCTTGCTGCACAGCAGCTAGGAAATGGGGTTTTACTTTGAGTGGTGAGTGAAAAGTCAGTGACTCTATTACCAGAGAACTAGATTTGAGGAGGACAATGAGCAGTTTCAGTCTCAAAGCAAATCAGAGCCATAAGATAGCCAAAAAACCCCATTAAGATCTTTTGGGTCTTCAGATCCAATGGAACCTGATGCTGGATCCATTGTAATTTTCAACTATGGGAGCCTTTTGGGCACATGCTTGTTGGAATGGGACTTTGACCTCTGGAAACAAAGAGCCCTGATAAATACAGGGCGCTATAAAGCCCCCGTCCATGACCAGCTCAGCCTGAACTATACATGGCCATGCTAGTGTCACTGCTGTCTTTGCAGTCGCCACCCTGATCATCTCGGCTCTACCTTTCTCTACCTTTTTTCCCCTTCTTTTTTTTCCCCTCTTCTTAAAAATCAGTATGTTTGTGATGCATAATAAATCCACCCACTGAGGGGACTTGGTACACACACATACAGCACCGGAGGCCTGTTTGTTCTTCCTACCGCAGGGGTGGTTGTCAGATCAACCCTTTTCTTCCTTCCTGCCCTGATTCCTAAGTGCTGGAATTATTTGTCTCTGACCCAATTTTCAATTTCCTCCTATACGCATGGCAAACAAAAAACAATCATCCCGCAGAAACTTGGTGGGAAGAAAATCCTGGCCCATGTGTGTATGATGAGGTCTTCTGGCATCCATCACGATTCAGTCTTTTTCTATTGTTTTTGTTTTTTTGAGACTGGGTCTTGCTATGTAGACCTTGAATTCTCTAGGATTCTCCTGCCTCAGCCTCCTGAGTGCTGCAATTTCATGTGTGCACCACTGCGCCAGGCTTCAGCCCCTTTCTGTACCGGGGATCAAACTCAGAATCTTGCGCTTGTTAGGCAGACAAGGCACCACTGAGCTAAATCTCTGGCTTCAATCCCTTTCTTAGGGCTCTTAGTCTGCTTTTTCACCTTTGTTGTCATGGTAGCCACACTGTGGGCTGATGTAAAACAATAATTTTTAAACATTTTAAATATGTTCTTTGACATTATCACATAATGAATATTAAACCTGAATTTAAAACATGGCCTATAGTAAACCAAGCCAGAAGGTATAAAATTATCCAACTTCTCCGACACCAAGCCTTCAAACTGTAATTTATCACCTTGTTGCAAAACTGAATTCATCTCTAATTTCAGATTCCAATTGGGAAAAAAATATACTACACAGTCAAATCTACTGTATTAAAACCCTTCACATAAACAGTAGAACTTCTATAGAAGGGGTGGTAAAATTTCAAAATAATTCATTAAATGAAATGAAACTAAACAGAGTAGATAGGATACATTATTACATGCTCAAATTTTTTAAATGAGCATTTAATAATATTTATAGTGTTTGAAGAGAGGTACCTTTGAAAATAATTTCATATGTATTTTAAAAACTTTGTAATTCATTCAACGTTTAAAAATTCAGATATTCAGCTAAGTGTAGTGGCACATGCCTATAACCTCAGCTACTTAGGAGGCTGAGGCAGGAGGATCACAAGTTCTAGGCCAGCCTCAGCAACTTAGTGAGACTTTGTCTCAAAATAAAAATGGGTGTGGATGTAGCTCAATCCTCATGGGTTAGGCACACAAACACACATACACGTTCCCCATGTTTTTAAAACATTACCACTGATCAAGTGCAAATTCCAGGGTTAGACAACAGCAAATGTTCTAAAATACCTGAGTTGGTGATAAAATATGACTTAAAGTTACAAGTTAACATAAAAAGTTCCCACTTTTAAGAAAAATAGTCTTGTTTTAATGTCACCATAAGTGAAGAAGGAAGACCCATCATATGCATCTCCTTTGCTTGCATGCTTTCCACTGACATCATTAAATATTGGTATGATTCAATTTAGGTAATTAGAAAAAAAATTGTCATTTAATGTCCTAACATTATTCAAGTAGAAAAATCTTTTTGTTTTTTTAAATCTTTGGATAACATAATTTCTGTTTAAGGAATGGCCTTGATTCTAACCTCATCTGTACAAAAGGAATTTTATCCAAAATGGAAAACATTCCTGGAAATATATTATCACCATGTGTGCCATAGTTTCACTTAAAAAAAAGCTTAGATAATCTAGAAGTTTTGTGGTTTACTATCATATGACAAATTTGTGTTTTATCATTAACAACTAAAAAATGGAAAGTTGTCACCTTAATCTGCTAAAACTGAGGTTGCCAAATATGCCCAACAAGCCAAATCTCATTTTTCTTTGTGAATAAAGTTTTATGAGAACACAGCTGCAACGGACCTAATGTCTGTGTGTCCCCCTCCAATTTATGCTGAAAGCCATCCCCTGTGACAAATGTGGAGTGGGACTGTAAGGGGCTAATTAAGTCATAAAAGTAGAGCCCTAATGAACAGGACAAGGAGAGGCCAGAGAGCTAGCATTCTCTGTCCTGTGAGAGCACAGCAAGAAGTCCGGCTCTCTGAAAACTGGCAAAAGGGCCTTTACCAAGAACCCAACTCCATAAGAACCCTGATCGCAGACTGGCCAGCTCCAGCACTGTGAGAAACAAATGTCTGTCATGTGAGCCATGCAGTTGATGGTATTTTGTTATAGCAGCCCCAGCTGAGTAACACGACAGTCTTGCCTGTTTGCTTACATTTTGTCTATGGTTGCTTTTGCCTGAGGAAAGCACAGACAAAAAGCTGTGATAGAGAACATATGGCCCACAAAGTGGCAAACATTTACAATGAAGCCCCTTCTGGAAAAAAGAAGCCAATTTCTGTCGTAAATAATAAAAAATTACTTTTCAATGATTACAAAAGATGTTTTATACAAAGGTTTAAAGCAAACTAGAAATAAAAATCGGAAGGGGAGAACTGATAACGCTTAAACATTTTATTTTCTACCAATGCTCTCTACATAATTCTATGGCATTAAGGAGTTAAAACACCAGTAAATTTTCTAAGCCACCAAAGGAAGATACAGAGCTTAGGGTTGTTTCAAAACCAAGGAACTGGTTTCTGTCCAGCACAAAATGCATATGCAAAGAAGAAAATGGAAGAAAGGAAGGAGGGAGGAAGGAAGGGAGAAGAGAGCAGGGAAGAAGAGAGGGAAGAAAAGAGGTAGGGAAAAACACAAAGTAAACAGCAAATGTTTTACAATCATTTTTAATTTATTGAACTACTCATAAATTCTATCTGTTAATAATAAAAGAAATATATTCTTAATTTAAATTAGAAATGAAGAAGTGGTCATTTGTACAACATATAGTGGCTCAAATATTTACTTGTGAAGTAGACTTAAAATTAGTAATAAGTAAGAGCAATCCTTAAACATATCATGGATATAAAAAAATCAGAAATCATAATATTTTGTATGAAGCCTTCCATATAAAACATGAAGGTCTCTAACTCAGGCATACTCAAAATTCATCAGTACCTGTTCTGACATGGACAAAAGGGAAAAGCTGCTCTCTGGCAGTCCTAGAGTCGAGATACGAGAAATGGCATAAATCACACAAAAATCTCTCCCTAATTCGTCTCTTTGTGTAGTTAATGTGAGGAGACTGCAGACCTTCACATGATAGTGGGTCTGATTTGAAACAACAATAATCTCTCTGAGGCCGGGGATTCAGCTCAGTGGTGCCCATGCCTGCTTCAGGAGTGCAAGGTCTGTGTTCAATCACCGGTACCAAAAATATATAACAATAATAATAATACTCTCTTTAGCCAAAAAATACTGATGTGTTCTTTTCAACCTTCTTTCACACACTGCAGTCATCTAACAACTATTTCTGTACCTAGAGAGATCTTTTAATTTATTTTTTTTTAAAGGAAGGGCAGGTTTAAATTTCAGAGTTTATTAAAAGGAAAAAAGCGCATATCCTAATTGGCTGTGCTTTATTTTATAAACACATGTGACATAGGTGTATATCTGTACACATATCTTACCAAGAGAAAACCAAAGAATACCAGCATAGAAAAAAAGAGTATTATTAAACATTATATACTTAATGTAATGTGTAGTGTATCTCATCAAGAAATGAGAATAGTGACTTCTATTATCTAAACCAGAAAATATAGGCTATATGATTTAGGTTATATTAATAACTTCTAAAATAAAATACTTCTTTTTATAACACCCAGCAAATCCTGATAACTTCCAGAGTCATATTCAAGCCTCAGAGTTGCAGGCTATTTTGATAACACTTTCATTCAAACATCCCTGTCAGGTCAATAATCATAGCTCTGTACTCACCAATGTCTAAGATTCTCTTTTGTAGAGCTCCGATAAAAAGAAACGGCTCATCTCTGCATGACTGAATGAGTGTGCCGACTAAGTCAGAGTTTGTTGCTAAGATGCAGGCATTTTCTTCACTGAGGTTGACTCCTGCCATGGAAGTCACATCATTGATGTCATCTTCATCTCTAATAGAAGGAAAAGTTATGTTTTGGGGGGTATGGGTATTTATATGAATGTATGATTTCACAGAACAAAAGATCAGATCTCTCCTTATGACTACTGACATTGTTTTACTTAGCTCATCCAAACAAGAATTGACAAATAGCTAACTTTTCCCATAAACATTTAAAATTAATCGGAATCTTTAACCACTAGTGCACATTTAATAATCAGAAAGACGAATCAGAAGCTATTTTGTCTCCTAGAGCTTATCTTTCCCTACCTTCTATGACACACACCAAGCAGAATTAGGAGTTACACTAAGTCATCCACAAATCCTCTGCGATGAAAGACACAGAAATAAAAAGGTATCTTTGTTTTCATCTAAGATGGTTAAAAATCCCCTCAGATTTCCCCAGTGAATCCCACAGTTCCTGAGTGGCAGCAGAACCTCCCTCACCCATCCTCGAAGGCATGGACTCATATAAAGGCCTTTGAGAAGCTGCTTCTTGACTAGCTATTTGGGAATCAAATCGGTAAAACTGTTTGTGATTTTCTGCTTCAGACTTTTGGTGTGCTTTATCTATACCAACTAAATACATTAAATCACATTATCAAGCGATTGGCTACAAAGTGCCTACCTACAAAATATAAAATTACACACACGTGCACATATATGTACATGTATAAAAGATACACATGTAAAAAATACACATGTAAAATACAAAATATTGTTGCTTTGCACCAGCAAAATTATACAGCTGTACTTATCTCCTAGAACTGCCATATGGCTATAATACTATGATGAGTATATATATTTAAGGTAGATAGGAGAGAAAGGAAATATTAAAATTTTCTCCCAGAATCCTTACCGCTACATATTGTAACAGGCAAGTCATTGGTCGTAATTCATACACCAATACATAATACAATTTATACAAACATGATTACATAAAAAAACATGTTATTTCTCTTTATTTCATGGGCCAAATGGTATGTGGTCTTATGTCAACAGACTTAAATTACGAAGCTCCCTGTGGTAATGTATTTGTGCACAGAAAGAGAAATAAATCATAACTGTCAAACACTCCAGAAATGATGGCCTGTGGTGTTCAACTTCAAAAAGTAGCACATTAGCAGTGGGGCAGGAGGAGTCCATATACAAACATATAGCAGAGAAACGGCTAAATGAAAGAAACTGCCAGACACAGCAGCTGAAAGTAAAGAGAAAGAAAAACTGTCTTATCTACACAGTATACTGAAGGCTCAACTTTAAAAGCAAGTTTCTGCACTCAGGAAAAGAAAAATTAAAAATCATTCTCTCAAATCAACAAATCAAACATGTTTTATTAAAAAATATCTGATGTCTCCATCTATTCAAACATCAGAAAGGTATATCAGGGATGTGGGATGCTCAGAACGACCCTATGAATCAACTTCCCATCTAGATAAATTCAGATTTAAATGTCTACACATTTAAACATCTGAATTATAGGAATGGCAGAAAAAATAAGGCTAACAAGGGACCAAATTCTAAGTAAAAAAATTGTTTTGTGGGATGGGGGATTTGGCTCAGTGGTTTCACCTCCTGCTTTGCACAGAAAAGGGCCTGAGTTTGATCCCCAGTACCAAAACAAACAAACAAAAAAATTGTTTTGAGTAATAAATATTTCAAAAAATCCAAGTATGCATGGGTACTAAGAGACAGATAGAAATAATAGATTCTGGTGTTCTACTGCACAAAGGAGTGATTTACGTAGTACTGTATGTTTTTTAAAAAAGCACTAGAGGAAAGGATTCTAAATATCTTCACAAAAAATGACAAATGTTTGAAAAGAAAAAAAAGATTACCCTGAATTGAACAGTGCACAATATATACATATATAAAAATATCATATGTTGAGGATATACTCCTGAGTAAAATAAATAAGTCACACATGTGTAAATACCGAATAGTTTCTCTGGTGTGAAAAACTATAATAGTACATAAGATCCTAATGATATAACTGACAATGTGAAATAGGAAGAAAAGGGCTAAAGGTGTAGGGGAAGTGGGAAGGGTAGGGGAAAGAAAATGAGGGAAAAGAAAAATATATGAGAAAGTGAAAAAATGGAAACAACGTATTTGTAAATGGGGAGGGTAAGAAAGGGTGAAGGGAGGGCAGGGACAAGGGGAAAAAATGAGAACCAAGACCTGTCATGTAAAGGTACAAGATCCCAGTAATGAATGTAACTGTACTGTATACCTAAAATGTACCAATAAACTCAATGAGAGAAAAAAAATATGTATCATATGGAAAGCCAGGCGTGGTGGTGCACACCTGTAATCCCAGCACTCAGGAGGCTGAGGCAGGAGGATCAATGTGAGTTTGAGACCAGCCTGGGCTACATAGTGAGTTCCAAGTCAGTCTCAACTACTTAGTGAGACCCTCTCTCAAAAAACCAAAAAAGAAAAAAAAAATCATATGGTAGCCCAGAAATATTTACCATTATAAACCAAAATAAAAGAGCAAGAACACATAAGGGAAAAGTCAATTCACACCAAAACAATTCAGTCCTAACTGGTTATTTAGTATTTTTGGGACTCAGTTTCCTCTTCCACAAAATGAATAAATTAGCTGCTTTCTAAGGTCCTTTTTGGACACTGCACAGAATGAGCCAGCTCTCTGGATTGACATAAAATGAAGTGACTGCACCTTGAATACACTGAGTGCTTATATAGACATCATACAGACCTGGAAAGATACCTGAGAAATTCTTCCTTCCGAGAGGGAAATGGGGAGATGAGGACAGGAAAAAGACTCACTTTAAAACATATTACTTCCCCTTTCACCTCTTGAAAGGTGTACTATATACATGGACTGCCCAAGCACAGTAGAAATATATTTAAGAAATAAACACGGAGAAAAAGAAAACTAGAGATAAGATAGGAAATAAGATCAGACTTAGACACACAACCTCATTCTTCCCTGAAATATAAAACTAGAGTTATTAACAGTAACAACCCATGAACTGATACATACACTATCGAGACAGAGTGCTTATAATCTCACATGTGTGCTGGCACACAGGTCCCCGTAAATGGACTCTTGTCACTTTAGCAGGGTTCGTGCACATCCCCTGCTGAGATCTTACTTACATACAGGCTGGAGAGGAGAGAGACAGTCCCTAGCATGGCAATAGTGCTAAATGGAATTTAGTCAATGAAGATCTCTTCCCTTCTCTTTTAGAATCCTGCATCTCTTCCCTGCAAATCTGCAGGGAACTAACTAACTGCCCAGTAAGATATGTTCTTGCCTGCCATTCCTCCTTCTATCTGGCCCAAAGCTGAGCACTTCCCCTAGTACAGCTGCAGTTACCATGGTTACAGATGGCAGCAGGAGCAGAGGAGGACCCCTGAGGAAAGAATAAAAGGAGCCACAATAAACAGCACCCAAGCCATTGCACATTTCCTCTAGGAAAACAATGTCCTAGTAGCACTACAAATAAAGCCTAGATAGGTCTGGGCAGTGGTCAAGGCTACAAAGTGTAAGGCTAATTCTAATTTAAATTTGTTTATACTCAAATGTTAAAAGTGCAGTGTCTTTTGATTTTCAAAAGAAAGGGACATTAATAAAGTCTCAGGACAAAAATCCTTCAAGCTGGGTGTGCACACACTTGCAATCCCAGCAGTTCAGGAGACAGAAGCAGGAGGATCTCAAGTTCAAGGCCACTGCCTCCAAATAACAAAATAATAAAAAAAAGTTTTACAGGTCTAGGTATGTAGCTCAGTAGTACAGCACTTGACTAGCATGTGTGAGGTCCTGGATTCAATTCCAGTACCACAAAAATAAAAGATCACCCAGTTTAGATTCTATGGAGTATAATATGGTCATAGGCAAAAGTTAAAGAAGCAACACCAACATATGTATTTCGGTTTCTAAAACAGATCTAATTAACTTTGCTTTCTGATAAAGTTAATGACTGCTCATATATGCCTTCTTAAACCACCGCCATTCTCTTTAAGATCTGCAATAGCACCAAATTAATTCTTCTGAGGTAGACACAGTCACATTATCTTCCTGTGCCCACCCGCATACTTGGATCCACAGTGCAGAGGCAAAGGTGGTCATAAAGGCCATTCATTTTACAGAGCCCCAGAAGATAGAACGGAAGTGAATAACTGCAATAAAGGTACCTCAGACCTCCATAGTTGGTAAGTTGAAGGGATCACCACCTTCCATCAAAACCTGTGCTATCTTCAGGGGAAGGGCAGCTCCAACCTGCTATAGAACCTTGCAGAGTTCAACCCTGCAGGAGGTCAGGGAGCTCAGCTTGGGCCTTGCAGCCAGAACTGAGCCTGACTCTCAGGGGTCTACTGATGGCTAGCTGAAACTAACTGACTTAGTTCTACACATTGCTGCCCACATTGTCTGCTGTGACAGCAGAGATATAGCCTGAAAGAGGCTCTCATCAGTTTTTTTTCTTTCTTCTCTTCTCATTTCTAATTTTTAATTATTTTAAATTTTTTTATTTTTTGCCATTCTTTGAATTCTTCCTTTTTCTTTCTTCTTTTTCCCACTCAGTCTCTTGCTCCCCAAGGTTATTCTTCATCTCCCTTTTTGTTCCTGTTCCTGCCCTAATTCAGATTTCTCCTTTCTTCTTTTCTTCTTTTTCCTTCGCTCGATGATCATTAGTTTCAAAGGAAAGTGAATGGCTTTGCTATTACTGTTAACTTGTTCTATTCCTTTTTTTTTTTCTTTTCTTTTTTTTTGGTACCAGGGATCGAACTCGGGTCCTTGCACTTGCAAGGCAGGCAGCAGAACCACTGAGCTAAATCGCCGGCCCAAGTGGTTCTATTCTTGTCTTTGTTCTTGCACTGTGTCTCTCCCTCTTGTCTTCAATAGTTTCCTAAAGTTTGCGTGATCATCCTGTGTCCTCTGGCTCCACTTGAACCTTCTCCTATACTTTTACCTATCGATTCCTCTCCTCCCAACTCCTTCTAAGTGCCCATCCTTTAGGGTAAAGTTGCTATATTGAAGAGTTT